CTGACTCTGACTGGAGCTTCTCCTTTGTGAGTGAATCTTGGCACTTGCTGTTAATTGTGCTTATATGGTTTTATGCCTCGTTTGAAAATAATGACATAATAATTATGATTTTGTGTTTGAAAGTCAAGATCTGATTCCGTCGAGCCGAGTGTTTTGTGAATTGTCCACTCTTTATAATCATTGCAAATGTGTTGTTTTAATATATTTTTTATCCACCATGCAAACTCGCCTGCAGGGATAAATAAAGTTTATTGGATTGGATTAAATTGAACTGAAATGGCCCTGCAATGGCTGGAGTAAACCTTCAGTGACTCTGAGCCACTCTAATTTGACACACAGCACAGACACATTTTTATTGAATTAAAAAATGATAATGATGATGTAGTTGCTGCACAGTATTGTGCAGTAAGAAAACAATATTATTCATATGAAATTCTTAATATTCTGCTGAAGGGTTTTTTGTACATATAGTCATGGTCCTTCATATATCTTTTAATTGCATAGTGGTATTTCTTCATTGTTTTTAATCTATTTTCTTTTTCTTTTTTCTGTTATGTGCCAATCTGAATCTTGCCTCTAACCAGTGTCTGCATCCACACAACCTCAACCTCTTGCTTGTATCTTTGTTTTTGCCCCTGGCTATTTTTTTTTTTTTTTTTGCTCCTGCACCTTTTCCTCGTCTTACTATTAACATAACGGCTAAAAAACAAACAAAGTTGTTTGTCTAATTTAATCAGATCGATCATGGACAGGTTGATCTGAGGGCCATAATTTGATTATTTTTCTCCTTTTGTGTAGCTTTCAAATGTAATGTAATTTTGCCTAATTCTATGTTTTAGTTTGACTAACAAAAAATAAATAAATAGATTATGTAAAAAAAATTTCTCAATGTGACTTTTAAACATTGCTGTGTAATGCTCTGGCCACCCAGAGGTAGCGTGTCAGAAAGAATCAAATTTTCACTATTGTGTGTCTGTTGTAACTCTATGATTTTCAAAAGGGGGGAATATGAGTACCTTTTGCAGTCCATAATACTTATACAGGATAAGCTTTAAAGCTGCTTTTTTCCTTTTAATAAAAAGCAGCATGGCCAAGGTGCTAATACGGGATCAGCTTCAAAGCACAAGTCCTCGACGTTCATCTGTTTGGAAATGAAATTGTCCAGGAAAGTTGTATTATGTCCTTTTTGAAAATCTTTTTGTCCTGCAGCTCAAAGTGTGGCGTTCAGGAACTGTCCATGGTGCTGATTTTTGTACCATTCTAACTTGTTTTCCACTGGAAGCCAGGAGTTGTCATTGGTGCTGAAAAGGAATTGGTGTTCATGCTACTGTCTTCCACTGTTATGCATTAGGAAATAACAGGTTTTTCAAGAAGCCGATATTGGATCAGCATTGAATATTCTATTCTTTAATAGTCGTATGCAGACATCTATACAAAAAAAATTACGTTACCTTGGACCACACAAGCAGATTCCTCATATTGCACAAGGGAAGGTAATAGTGCAGTAGTCCAAGCCCTTCTGATATTCCTAAAACAAAAAGAAGGGAAAAATACTCATAACTTTGTGAAAATCAACTGATGTGTTGGTAATGGTAACAGTGTTATAACAGAATGGGTTTAGTGGTAAAGAACTGGATGCTTTCATGACCTTTTTAATGTGCCTTAGTTCGGGATAATTCATAGCTGTAAGGTAGTGAAATACAAGTAGTAACATGATGGTTAACCGATGTAGATCCTTTTCCCTGATATAATCTTCCTCCCACACTCTTTTATTATTTCTTTCTCACCTCCTGTTTCTCTCTGGCATGTATTGATCTGCTGGCTTTTGCGTCTTAGAGTACTATATCCACAGATATTTATGTTTGTAGCTGAGGGCCTCCGGTTCCCATTATGGGCTTGAGCGATAGGCACGGGCAGTGTTTCAACACCTTGCTGCTGAGGAAAAATGTAATATTCAAGAGGCCTGGCCTTAGTCAGCACTTCCCCCACCAAGAACTGGCTATGTAAAATGATCAGGGACACCACATTTACTGTGGGGTATTGTGAAAGCTTAGGTACAAGGAAAAAGATGATTACAAAGCAAAACGGTTATCAATTCAATATTCCTTTTAGGAAGATATATATATCAACAAATTCTGAACCAATCCAGTGTTGCGTCTCAGTAAAAAAAAAAAAAGTCAGCTCTCATTGGTGTGTAATACAGCTCAGTGACTTGATGTGTCCATCCAATTCGCTGGTGTGCTTGATTTGATGTGTTTACGAGCAACTACAGTGGAGTTTGCAAGAGAACAAAAAACATGCAGTCCATTATTTAAAGCAGGCCAGCGAGGATTATTTCTGATGAGTGAAAACTTATTTTTTAACAGATGGACAGTGTAAATTAAGCTAGGCAAAAATAGCCACTTTCAAAAACTGTAAAAGATTAATACGTTTGAACAACGGGTCATGCAAATTGCACTTAGATTAATATAATATAGTTTCATACAGTTTCGTTGGATTTGTTTTTTTTTCAAAGAAACCATTTCCCCATGCACTTAAAAGTGGAAGTGTTGGTTTGTAACGTGCAGGTCAATGTGGTTTTTAAAGGGATTAACATCAGAACAAATAGAATTATCACATCGTTCTTCTCTGTCCCTCTTGACTCTCACAACTGCCTTCCTTTTCTCTTTTTTCTGATTCTCTGTACTCCTATCATCAGCTCCCTGTATGCAGCTTATACCCACTAGCTTTTAAATCCTTGTTGGTACATCAGTTTCCTAACCTTCTTGACCTTGCTGACTGAGCCTTAGAGAGACTCTGTGTGATGGGGTGTAATCTTCAGCTCAAAATCTTCTCTTTGTCTTTGTCTCAGCCTCTCACACTATGTCACGTTCTTGTCCCTTGTTCCTGTCTGCAGATTTCACAGGCTTACAAACTCACGGATGCACACTCTAGTTGTGAACCACTTCAGAAAAGCATGCCAAATTGACATTTCCACCTTCTCAAATATGCAAAGGAAGCTAATCTGAATACCACTTCCAGACAGTGAATCTCCCCTGTGCTCAAACATTTTATATTCCCTTTTTTATTCTTGTTTTCCTAACATGTGCAATCCAAAACACATTTATTGATCTTGCTGTGGAAGATGCCATATGCTTGCCTCTTTCTTCACTTTGCATTTCTTTAAACAAAATGCAATCTGCACTGTTTATTTTAGCAGTAAACTTTCTACAATTTGGTATTTTTTTAGTATAAAAGTTACGTTTATAGCAGGGGCAGAAAATTAGCTTTAAAACGTTTTTATGTTATTATTTTTCCATCTTGTCAATTAGTCTTGAGTACCTTTTGTCTTAAATGTCACACTTTTCAGTAATTGGAAGGATTTGGCCAAAGCGCTGCCTTCCGAACAAAACACTCTTTCTTCATGTGTTCCCATTGATGGCTCCGTTGATGCCCACACCCACCTCATTTTACCCCACCCCCTCCCCTCCTCTCTCTTTCCACCTCTCTCTCATCCCCCTTCATTTGTAGGTTCCCTCCTCCACCACCAGAGGCTTTCCACGCAGCCCTTTCGCTGACAGCAGGTTTGCCTTGTTCCTCTCTCCGCGCTTCTTGGAACGGATGCTCCAGACGCGCTCCGCGGCGGCAGAGAGGGGGCCACAGAAAAGTGTTTTCCCCCCCGATTCTCATTTCACTAGGAGTCGTACAGCTTTTTTTTTCAAGGAGAGGCGGCAATTGAAACACATCTTTCCCCCCCTGCAACTTGCACAGGCGAGGCGTTTGTTTTCCGCCTCAAGATGGCAAAGGTAGGACTTTTAGTGTGTTGTAATTCATTTGGAAAGTTCACTGTGGGCTGGCGTGCTCTGGCAGAATTCCCCCGGACGCGCGGGGTGCCGCAGTAGTTATCTGTGGCTTTCTGTAGAAAGAAATCCCACAAACGCTCAGTGATGTTGCGCGCTCATGTTTGACCGAGGTGTGTGTGCGTGCCCGCGAGTGTTTTAACATTTTATTGGGGCTTTTGGTCTTTTTGTTTCAAGTCTAAGCAACCTCACCCGCTAACTTGTTGCCACTTGTAACGCGTTTAACATTTGGTTTGGTCAGTCTGAAGGCGAATGCGCGCTGCTCAGAGGAGCGAGCGTAATTTTCGATCATATTTAATAATTCAAACGGTAAATTGCTACTGTTAGTGTGGCAATAAATTGTCACCGGTGGGTTACCCAGAGTGCTGCGTGGCTGTACGTGCATAACTGGGTTGCGTTACATTTATAATAGAAAAATAACCACAGTGATTTGGGGCGGCACGGGTGCATTGCTTTCGGCCGACGCAAGTGCGCGTTTAAATGCTTTCCAGGCATACAATTGTAGCAGTTTGTAATAATTGGCAGGCACACGAGAAGATACTCATACCGGATTAAAACTAAACGTGTTTTCTAGAGGAGAAATGCCCGCGCACACCTCCTGCTCGGTGGGTTTCTGAGGACTGCGGCCACTTGATGCGCCAACAGGATGGAAGTTGGAAGCGAGCCACCGCGCACTAAAGCCATGCTGTTGATTGAGCACCGACTTAATAACCTACTGTACTATCAGGGAAACAATGAAATTGACGCGCGTTGTTGTCTCGATAATCCTTAGTTAGAGTTGTTACGGATTAGCATGTCTATTTTCAGAAGAAAAAAAAAACGTTCTGCAAATAATTATCCTTTTTGTTTTCCTTCCATTTTTTTAATCTCATCATAAAATAATTATAGGCTACACCCTGGAGTTTTTGTTCATTTTAGACTTAACGTGGATCTCATGGGTAGGATATTGAGATCTAATTTAGCTTGATTGAAAATACTAGACAGGACAAGATTTCACTTATGTTCAACACGCTCAATCTTCTCTTAAAATTATGTTCAACCCTTCAGTCAGTTTTGTTGCTTCTAGTTTCTTTGGAATTGACTCATGTTACTCGTCCATCCAAACTATTTGTAGACATGGCATTTATATTTACTAAATGTCACTTGACATTTGTTTAGCACATGAAACAGCTGCAGATTGAACACGTGAGTGATGGCATGTTTGCTGTGGAAAAACAGAATGATTTTTTTGTAGCTTCCCACCGTCAAACACATGGAAAAGCATATTCACAATTGCAAAATTGATTAAATCCTTTCCATCCCAAGTGAATATTTGTTTTGAAGGGACACAGATTCTTCATCTCTGTGCTATCTGTTCCCCAATGCAGGACCAGTGTATGTGTTTCAAACAGCAGAGAGTGGTTTATCACTGTGGGGTTACAATACACATTAGGGTTGGATATTACTCACTGACCTTGGTTGAGGCTGGAAATGCTAAGTCCACTCCTTAAGGATGTCTCCCATGTCGACTGTATGTATCACTTTGTATACACAGGCTGTCAGTGCCCAGCGTGTGTGTGTTTAGGAGACCTCTGGCATGCCTCCGTTTCCTCACTTCTTCTGGGCAAACTGGATGATAGGGAAACATAAAAAAATGAGAAAAACCAACAACGAATCATTTCTTTAATTTTCCAATTAAATGTACAGGAATTGGTCTGTGAGACAGGAACTGGCGGTGACAGTTGTAACCTCCATTGATTATATGCTTGGAAAATTTATTAGAGATATAACAGACTGGAAATCAGCTTGTGATAGATGTAGGTGGGAATTTAATATGTTTTATTGTTTGTATTGTCTTCAGATTTCTCCATATCTTAAGTTAAAAAAGGTAAATGATTAGGTTTGGTTGCAAGTGATTATGTGAATCACATGATATGTAATTGGTGCTTGTTTTTCCACATCTATGATATAAAGACATAACATTTCCGTGTTATTATTTTAAAACAGACATACACTATTTCTTCATCAGTACGTTTGGAGCCTATTAAGTTTTGTCTTTTGGGCAAGAAGTTAATATGGATTTTTCAGTGCTGTTGCATTGTTTATGCACACAGGACGACACATCCTACCAAACCGACACTCCATTTGACAGCAAAACAGCTCTGAACCGTTGGACTGGTATGTCAGAGCTGTTTCAGAGTAAGATCATTTAGATCCAGTGGGTAATCGTGGTGGGGATCAGGTTCGTGCTGGGTTTAAAGTCTCACAGAGGTAAATGTCTGAATCAATGGGGCCCCTTCAGATTGAAGGATTTGGGGTTTTGAGCAAACGTAGAAAGACTTATGTGCATTCCCCCCAAAATGCTCAACGGTGCAGAACCCCTGGAGGTCTTTGCCGAATGATGATGAGCTGAAAGTAAACTCAAATAGAGAAAAAGCTTAATCAGGGGTTAGCCACCAAAGGAAATAAGTAATAACAACGAAGATTGACACAGCATGATAAAATCTCTTAAAATGTATTTCAGATCGCAGAAAAAAATGCATCAACACTAACAAAGTTGTGTAGCCCTGCACCACAGGGCTATTATGTATTCTCTTCCATCAAAAGCCTCTCTCTTGCTCCAGGGCAAGAACCAAAAGAAAAAAGGACAAACCTAAACAAGAGAAGCTTGAAATGCAAATTGGTTTACATATTTTAAACAATGCCCCCATGTGGCAGATAAATGTATAATAGCCAAATGTGCATGTGAGTTGACTATGGAACTGTCACAATAGATAATAAAACACACAGGACCTTATTCGTCAATCGTTTTAGCATTTTAAAAGATCACTTCTTTTAATAAGTGTTCTTCAGCTTCAGCAGCTTATGTGGGTTGTGCATATTATTGTAATGCTCACAAAAAGACCTTTGCATTCCCATTATCAGTTTTATATTGTGTTATATATATATGTGTTTATCAGTTGGACTCTCAGTGGTTTTGATGTTGAATTAAATCTATATGCACATACAAATTGGGGGAATATATTTACACCCATTGGTGGCATGTATCTGCTTTGTATAGTGGACTCCTCATTTATTCGGCTGGTGGTCTAACCAGCATATATATTACAAGGGCCATGTAACAGTAACATAGATGGCAGAATGGCTGATTGTGATTTATGTATCAGAAGAGAATGCATTACTGTTTGTTCTCCGTGCCAAGTCCAGGCAAGCATTTTTACACATTTTTCTAGCACTCGCAAATCACAGATGCACAAAATAAAAACCGACGTACATTCCAAACTTGTGTAAGCAAGTCAAAGAGGTACAACTCTGGCTCCATGCTCCTTTATTTCTTCTGCTTGTTAAATCTGACACAGACACACGGCCCCACCCTCCAACCCGAAAATCGTTCAGATGAAACAGTCCACCGTTGTGAGACATTGATTACCGTTTACCAAGCTGCCGCATAAATGTAGTGTTAAAGGAGAGATGGTTTGGATAGGCATGAGAGCGGAGAGGGAGTACAAGTGAAAGCCCTAGAATGAGATGGAGAGTGATGGATGGCAGTGCCGTGGCAGTAAATATGAAATATACAGGAGTAAACCTGAGGATTTTTATAGCTGATCGAGAAAGGAGTAATTAGGCCAACTAATTGATCTGGACTTGTGGTCAGGTGAATAGTTCACTCCCTAGCTTAACACACACTTCCTCTCCCCTCACACGCGTACATACAAACACACATTTTCACAGGCTCACTCCTCACTGCTCACACCTGCTGTCTTGTCAGCTATCAGGAACGGTCAACTCTTAGTCACTTCATTACCCCCTCAGGGCAGAGAGTGCATCAGCCACATTAGCGCCCGAGCCCTGTGATGGAATCACCAGGTAGGAGGAGGCAAAGAGTGGAGGGGCTGTGGAAAGGCATCATGGTTGAATTTCCAGACCCTTTTTTGCGCGCAATTTTAAGGCAAGGGTTACAGGCAACACTTTGATCCAACAGTTCTCAAGTTCTGCGGATTTGCTTTGAAAACTCAGCAAGATTTTTTTGTTATGCTTTTGAAGAAACTCGTTTCGAAAAGGTCATTATTTCGGTTACAGTGGAGCAAGATAGCGAGCCTTTACTTACCAGAGTTTGCACATATACCTACCAAAACTATGCGACCATGTTCAATGCCCGAGTTAAACTGACAGGCTTTGTATGCTCTAAGGCTAACATTTACTGCTTCCTGTTCTTATTCTACCCAAGATTTGGGCTTATATCCTCCCAATTCTGTGATCACATTTAGAATGCGGACCTTTGGCTGCTTTCTTAACTCCTACCTTGATCGAGATTGCTTGAACTCTCATCTGAACTGTTTTAGTGATAACATTTTAATCCTTTAAAAAATGATATTTTTTATAAATGAGAAGCTTTACTGTCAATATGATATACATATTTTCTTCTGAACCTTGGGCCATTTGGCATTTGGCAGTAGATTTGAATATATGTGCTTTGGAACAATGGCAAGCCATTCACATGCCTCCTCATGCAGAGTCAATAGTTATATAAAGGTATTTTTGGGCACTTTTCTTTGTGTGCTTTTGATGTGGATAATTTTCTGGAGGCACGTTTTCACCTCTGATGATCGGATCCAGGTAAACACAGCGTGTGATCATACCTGGTCTGCCGGTCTATGTTTATGCTTCTTGCACTGGAGTGGGAAGAACAACTGCTTTGTAAACTGGCAGTTCTTCACCTGGATGTCACGGTTCACAAAGACTCTTCCTCTGAGTTTGGCATAACCCCACTGGCAGAGCTTATGCAGTGGTGTATTTCTGCATCAGTGTCGGATTTAGAGGGATGAAGGCTGCCAAGGTAGGGAAAGTCATCCACATTTTTTGAGCTTGATATATCTGATATGTATTGACATGCACAAATGCAGTGAGTCACTACACACATACATGCTGATGCGCACAAGTGTACAACAGACAGGTTCATAAACACGCTTATTTTATGTAGAAATATATTAAAATAAACAAAGGATTAGAGGTGATACTGAATGGAGTAAGGTATTATACTATTTGTTGAAACCTCTGTTTTCTGCCTACAGACTTTATATTTTCTCTGCTCAGCTACAAAGTGTTACGTCCGTTCTGTTCAAAGAGGGAATCTCGTGTTTTTCCTTAAGCTTGCCTCTTCTCTGCTTTATAAGGTGACTTTCCTGTTGACTGAAGAATCTCATTGACAAGTGTCCCTGAAATTAGATTAATGATGGGTTGTCATTTTCAAAGACTTGCCGAGCGAGTCGCGTACAATCGTAACTGAAAAGACCCCTCTCTGTAGTTCAGATGGCCTGCATGGTAGACTGTGAAAATCTTTATTTTCAACGCCTATTTATTTAATTGTCTTGGTTCAGATCTTAAAAGGACAATTATTTTCTTAGGATGAAATGGCACACATGAACAACAAGAGTATTCTTTTGCGTTTGAGGACACTTCTATTTACATTTCAGGGCTAGTCAGTAAAATTGTATGGATAATTTGCTTTAAACTACATTGCTTTATTTTTGTATGGTGATATTGTAAACATGTTTTTGAGAGCAAGTTTTCCTCCAGTGGCGCTTAATACCTGTCATGTTTCAAACGATTCATGTTAGGTTTATTGGACATAGCAGATTGTCCACAGCTGCGAAGAAGAGTGACAATATCTGTCTGCCTATGCTGGTCCACATACACAATTGACAAGTCGCCCGCTTGTCAGTTGTGTATTTTTCCGTCTTCTGTTGAGTTCGATCTATTCTGAGACAACCCTCAGAGCCCTTTGACCCTGACAGGCAGTAATCTGATAAGACGCAGGATAAATGGGCAAATATCAATACAGGATTTGCTTATTTGTCAAAATTACCCTTCAAAGCCTATCACTCAGTGTCTCATAATGCAGCCCAGCAACAGTCAGCTGGCTCCTGCTAGTGGCTAACACAAGCTTAGACCACATCTCTGTTGCATGCTCATTCTTACGCCACAAGCTTATCCCTCTCTGGCAGAATTCTAATTCGGTGTGTGTGATGAATAGCACTTACATAATTGTGTTTGGTGTGTCATATTAACCTAATTACAAAAACACATTTATGTCTTCCCTTAACTGATTGGGGAGAACTGATTGAGCACACGAGCAATAACTTACAGTAGAGTTATTGAACATCTCTAAACATAGGAAGTGTCAGTCACAGATAACATCTTTAATATCTTTCTTCTCTGCAGTTTTAAACATAATATTAGTAACTGTGTTTTATTTTGTTTTTTTGGAGCCAGATAGCTGATATTTCTTATCAATAATCACCAACTAACAACTCTACTTTTGGAGGACAAAATGTGAAAAACCTATTTTTCTAATGATACAAGAAAAAAACTACTTTGAGTGCAGACGGTGACTTTCAGGTTGGGGGGATTTAACATAAAAAATATAAATATACAACCACATGGACAATTCCATCTACTCCTACAGGCAATTTTGAATAATTTGTCAAGTAACAAACATGCATATTTTTCGGCTGTGGGAGAAGGCCAGAGTACCCGCAGAAAACCCACACATACACAGGAAGAACATGCAAACTCCACACACAAAGCCCCCCGGTCCCTGCGGATTCAAACCAGGAACCTTCTAGAAGCATAAACATAGAAAATTTATGGTAATCTTAAATACTAACTCTTAAGAAATCTTTGTTCATCCTGGACACCCTCAAAAACTGAGTTTCCTCCCGGATGATCCTTCTCTGTATTTATTTTAAGACGGCCTTTGTTTGCATTCCTTTCTCAATGTAGTCTTGTCTTGCCTTCAACAATGAGACACAGGCTTTTGGGTTGCTTTCATGGTGGGCTTCACCTCACATATTGTCCATTTATGCTGTAAATAATGTACTTGAATACATTTTACCAAGTACAGTGTATCACCTGCTGGAGTTGAAATAATGAGCAATTTCAAGCTTTCTCTGCATGTTTAAATCATTCAATAATGCTCTTATTTTTATTTAACTCGCTCAAAGAGTGATGGCACTATTATAGACTGGCCTTTTAAGATGTTTTCTAACAAATGTAATCTGGTCTGTCAGGGTTGTCAACGGTTTTCAACTTGCCATGAACTTGCCACAATTTCCTAGTTGTGTGAACTGAACTTTTTAGTTAATAATTTTCAGATTTCTCTCAGATTTATTTGATTT